ACACACACAGACATCCAACACACAGCTAAGTTACGCGCCTCGTGAGTACTGTGGCTACTGCTAAAATCGTGCAATCACGGCCCTCCTTCTCTAATTGGTTCAAGCGGGGAAATTAGAGTATTCAGCGTGGTCGTGTTTAGTAAAAGAAGTGCTTGGAAAATAGTCTGCAGGCGCTCTTATCGGCTTGTGATTTTTAGCAGTGGAGCACTGACTTAGCGGTAGGACAATAGCTTTGTGTGGCTGACTCGTGCGCTCCATCGCGATGTATTTGCACAAAATGTCCTAATCGTTCCTCTTTCAAACCATACTAGCATTTTTATCAGCTGGTTGCATTTGAACTCGTCAGGAGGACCTTTCCAAACTGGTCTGATTGGACTTCCAAACATTATAATGAGTACTTTGATCCGTGAAGAGCCGTTCTCGGCAGCTGTCGAGTCATCATTGTTACGGAATGTGTGTCATACTTGCTTCAAATACACGCCTGGACGTAAACTCAGGGGCTGCTCTCGTTGTTCAACAGTACACTACTGCAGCGTAAATTGTCAGAAGAAGGACTGGCCTGATCACTCGGCGAGTTTTTGATTGCTCAGTGTTTTATTTCATTCAGAAACTCTTTGAGCTAGAGGTATTCAATTCCAGGCGGAATGTCGCTGTTTGATAAGCTATTCGCCAAGAATTCCAAGTTGTTTCGTTCGCCTTTTGGCAAGGTTCTACTGGAAAATGTCTGCACAGGGAGATACGATCGTTTCTTTCAACTCTAGGCGCTGTTCTGACTTGATTGACAGTGCGTTACAAACCTTTTGGTTGACAAATATGCATGGATGCCGATGTTTTTTTTTTGCTTTTAATCAAGTTCTATACTGTCCAAATTCGACTGCAGCTGTGGTTCGATTGCATTCAAGGAAGCTAGGAAAGAGAAAGTACTGAATAGAGAATCGCAACTAAATATATCCTACCAAGATTAGGACATCAAGCTTGGGGATGGCATAGGAGTGTTGTTGTGCATCGCAGTTCTTTGAAAGCATGACGATATCTTGCATGGCTTGACGTGTTCAACGTCTCATCTGCGAGATCCAAAAGGTTCTTGGACAGTTACGCAGCATGGAGAATTACATAAAAAGAAGTGTAGTTGATACAAAGAAAAAGGGATGTATCTCGCGGAGGCTTTTGAATAATTCTGTTCAGTCAAGTTAACGTAGTAGATTGGTGACTTTTGGTCAGTAGATTTGCAGTTGAATCTTATTTAATCTACTTTTTGTTATGAGATTGTTTCTCTAATTTTCAGATTGTGAGAAACTCATCGAGTCTTCAAAGCATGTTGAATATTTTTCTTCGCTCTTCAAAATCCTAGTGGAATATATGCATGGAACCGATGTTGCCAGTAATAGGAAAGAAATGTTTTCAGCATACGGGAAGGTGTGTTTGATTCTCACATATTTGTGTTCTATATCTCTTTTTCTTCAGCGCTGCAACATTATCTTTGTGCCGTATCTCTTTGCGTGAAGTATGTTTCATCTCTTTGTCTAATATTCTTCAGCTCGTCACCAATGCTTTTGCAATTACTGATGACACTTTCAAAACGCTGGGAACAGGACTTTATATTGGGTAAAATTATGGGAGAAAGCTTTTTTCTTTTTGTTTGGCTATACTTTTTTTCAGCATTTCTGCCCAAGACCATTCCTGTACGCCAGACGTTTTTGTGTATTTTGAAGGCTCTACAGCTGTGATGCGTTCTCCGGAAGTTGGAAAAAAGTACGATCGCAGTGTAGGATTTTTATCTCATGCATCATATTCCTCAAATTGAATAATTGCATCATCTAAATAGGCAAATTGAGAAAGGTCCTTTGAAAATCTAATAATTCCAAAAAGACTAGCTTTCTTTCATCTTTTTCGCTTAATCGGTGAGATTTCATTGAACTTCAAGATAACCGTTTTTTTCCTGAGTTTGAAGAAGATTGTGGAGAAAATGACAATTTTGCTTTTTCTAAAATACACTTGCGGTGAACGTCTTTTTTGATGAAAAGCTATACTTTCTTGACGTTTGTCATATCGGGCATTTCAATTTTCCCGATTTGAAGTACTCAAAATAGCGCTTTATGTCCATAGATGTATGTAGTCTCTGCAATAATTCTTTACTTTGAATAGCTCCTTGACAGAATCCTTTCCTTTCTTTACAGCTCAAGATCTCATATGTTGATCTAATGGACGTAACGGAAGAACGAAACAAAATTCTTCGCGATCAGTTTTGTTTTGTATGTTCTTGTCCTGCTTGTACGACTAAAGCAGAGGTTTGTATGATAGGTTGGCAAGATATAGTAATTTGTCACCTAAGTTTTTTCTAGTTCTTAGCATCTACTCGAGCAGTTTGTTCGGA